TCTCCGACGTCGCGTCTCGGACGTCCGTGAGAGGGATTTTCGTTGGGACACGCTGATTAGTTAATGGTTAACGATTGCATTTGTCAATCAGCGTGTCTAATGTCGTCTTTACCGCCCTTCCAGTGCGCCCTTAGCGCGCTGTTATCTTGTAAGGGCGGGAGATGGTCGCGAGGGGTGGGCGGAAGGTCCCAAAAATCTGGAATTTCCTCCGGGTGACTAATCGGCGAGCGGACCGTTACATACAGATGCGCCGTTCGGAAATTCGTGGTTTATGGTATGTTCGTAGGCTATTGAGCGCGAGGGACACAAATGACTAAAAATCTAGCAAAGCAATTCTAGTGACCCTCGCAGGATGTAATTAGACCCGTGCAAGCAATAAACGAAAATCCTGAACTCAAAAATAACCGTTCCCGGTCGATCGTGCCATAAACCGTTTCTACAGAAAACCTAACAATGACATTTTACTTTGAGAAGAGCTGAAATTAACCAGTTAACTGAGGAAGATCTTGTTTCATGTTTCATTGTTTACTTTGGGAAGAGTTAAAATTAACCTGATAACTGGGGAAGACGAACTAACTCGTCATTGGTTAACCAATACTTAGAACACAATAGTTTATTGAAGGACATATTCATTTTTAATTGTACTATGTATATGTATTAAAGTGGTACCTATTCTTATTTTAAGGCCCCAAAAATAGGCAATATTCGTGACTTTTTGTTAATAGAAACAAACACTGTATAACTTGAATCCTTTTACAATGCGCTATGAGTTTTCATGTATAATGAAATTTGGCTAAAAAAAAGCAATGCATCTGAAGTAATAACGGTTTGATCTAGGCCGGATAGAATTGACGTTCAGTAACGGTGAGCACGATTTCGTCCTTCGTATCCATATGAAATGAAAAACGGAGTTATTTTTGTATTCAGAAAGGCTTTCTTTATCGTCCCTACTATAGAATCATTGACATCTGGTAACAAAAAATACAGACAAAGCGATAAACAAAGCAGTTCATTTTTTTACGAATCTTTCAATTTCAATCTATCAAAAAAATTAAAAATTTTCATAAATTTTTACAATTCTCGTATGGGCGATAAAGAATACATTCACAAATCGAATGCACTTTATTTTATTCAAATCGAACAATTAAATTTCGAGATATGCTCACGGTTTGAAAAAACGTAGCTTTGAGAAAAACGCGCTTAAAGTTTTTGGTAGAGTTTTTATCGTGATAACAATAAAATTTTCTGATGTACATTTAATCGGCAATTCCTAGTTCATAAAGAAATCCTTACTTCTGTTCCAACATCTCTTTCTGCTTTGATCGTTCCAATTTTTTGGAAGTACTACCCTTTTGGAGGCCTCGGATGCTCGGTGCTTAAACCGGTCGATCCGCTCTTGTTTTCTTCGTAAAACGTATGAATTATGTTTACGAGAGGTTTGAACCCGCCATTAAAAATACAAATCGACAGCTGAGTTGCGATTTCAGCAGTATTTATCCCCAAACAAAGATGCTTCGGAGAGAAAATCCAAATCAACAAATTCAAACTTTCATTATTATTCTACGTATTGCATTCCAAACGTCTCACCAACAATTCATTACATGACAAATCCTCATAAATGGGTTTAATAATTTTGAAAACTTCTTCTGAAAGTGCTTTTTCATGACGAAAATGTTTCGATCTCCCAGCAGATTTCGCTCGACCGCCGCGCGCGCTTGTTTTCAAACCTTTGTAACTTCTGTACTTTTTAAGATTTCTAGAAAATTCTTCCACGTACTTTCTCTAGAAAAATCGTAGAAATTTAATACGTCAACAAAAATTGATTTTTTGGTCTCAAGACATGAAAATACCACTTGAAACATAAAACATATCAAGATTCTTATTTGCAAGTAGCAAACTAGTGTAACTGGTTACAATTTTAGTTCATTTTTAATTATAAATTAGAGATTCAATTTGTTTGAGAGGTGGAATAAGTTAATAGGTTACAATAAGTTTAAGAATTTTTGCACTTAAAGCAGAAAAATTCTGGTCTGTTCCACATTTCAAATGAATCTTTTGTGAGGCTGTAATGCATATTACATTTTACGATGTAACTACTACATATTCCTTTTTACGATACATACAACCACTGTTATTTTAAGTTGAATATCCTTTATTATTTGAAGTACAATCCATTTTACCACTAAAAACATGTATCAATGTATTATATGAATTACTACAAAAAACATTCGTATTCAAATTGACTTATTTCAACCGGCCTTTGCTAATTAAGATATTTATTTTTATGATATGTAATAACTATTGTTCAATTACACAGAATATACATTACACTACACGAACGCTGACTATATCAAACGTTTTATTACTTTTTACATCTTTGCCTCGACAATTGATTTTCTACGATTCAATACACGATCATCCTCATCTTGAAAAAAGAGAATTTGAGGAACGCTGCGGAAACCTTATTTCCGGCACAAAAACGCATTAAAATAAAACAAAATATGAAAATCACAAATCATGTACTTCAATAATATTTTTTAACCTTCTTTCGCTCGTTACGATAGATCTATGTTAATTGTAATCATTCTATTTCCGAGCTTCGGTTTTTGTCTGCATTTGTATTTGCTCCAATTAGTGATTTTCTTATTTTACAAATATAGACAGTCAAATTCCAAATTCCACATTCATTTTTCAGTTCATATTTTCAAATTAAAAATTGAAATTTAATCCTCCGCCAACTACTGTAGATAAATTAATCTAATATCCCACTTACGTGAAAGTGTACACGTTACACGATTATCTCAATGTTTCAGCGCTCGTCTCGCCAAACATCCATCCTGTTAAACGAAACGACACCCGATTGATCGACGCAAGCGGATACGTATCGAACTTGATCCCATCGCTACCTATTACCGATATTAATCGCCCTCGCGGGGGAATAAAGCCTGCAGATAGATCGAGATCGTTCCCGGGCCCCAGCGACGTTTCCCGCAATTAATCGGGGGCAAGTTCGTAAGAGTACTTGCACGATCCCGGAGAACGAGTGGCTTTCGTCCGCAGCGCGCAGGTTAACGTCAGTGCTGCTAGTTTCTAGCTCCGTGGCTCGTTCTTCAGCGCCAAAATACCGCTTACGTCACCGAGCATTGTTCGCTGGAATTCTCGGCCGGCGCATAATTTCCCGTGTTTGCCCACCACCGTGTCCTTTTCCTTGAAACGCAATGCTTTTCGACCCACCCCTCGGACTCCTGTCGCTTGTGAACTGTCCCTTGTGGAAACACCACGATTCTCCTGCGGAATTTTTATCGATGTTACACAAATATCAGAAGGTGACTTTTCGTGTTTTACGATGATTTTCAAGTATCCGAACACTTGATAGATGTGTACTAACCGTATATAAATGTTACTTAAATGTATAAAATAATAACTAAAGGCGATTTTTTCTACTTTCTTGTGGAATGTACAAGTTGTAAATTAAAAATGATTGATTTAAAAACTTGCCAATAATGCATTAAAGTTAAATACGCAATTCGTTGACGTGTCCTCTGCGGTTGAGGATTACTACTCGAACTAATTGTAGTAGTCTTTGTTATTGCCCGTGGTTGTGGCGATGAACTTTCGAGCTTTGTGGATGTTTGCATGATGTTGTGCCGTCTAGATACTGGTTCGAAGGACCACCCAAATGATTGGGACTGTGTGAAAAACTGATCTATGTCTAACGCGTGATGGGAGCTGGTTGCTCCTTGTTCGTGGTGGTTGAACGACTACTCGACTTCAACTCTCCGACGTCGCGTCTCGGACGTCCGTGAGAGGGATTTTCGTTAGGACACGCTGATTGGTTAATGGTTAACGATTGCATTTGCCAATCAGCGTGTCTAATATCGTGACTCAACTCTCCGACGTCGCGTCTCGGACGTCCGTGAGAGGGACTTTTATTGGGACACGCTGATTGGTCAATGGTTAACGATTGCATTTGTCAATCGGCGTGTCTAATATCGTCTTTACCGCCCTTCCAGTGCGCCCTTAGCGCGCTGTCACCTTGGAAGGGCGGGAGACGGTCGCGAGGGGTGGGCGGAAGGTCCCAAAAATCTGGAATTTCTTCCGGGTGACTAATCGGCAAGCGGACCGTTACATATTCGTGATTTATGGTATGTTCGTAGGCTATTGAGCGCGAGGGACACAAATTACTAAAAATCTAGCAAAGCAATTCTAGTGACCCTCGTAGGATGTAATTAGACCCGTGCAAGCAATAAACGAAAATCCTGAACTCAAAAATAACCGTTCCCGGCCGATCGTGCCATAAACCGTTTCTACAGAAAACCTAACAGTCTTTCGATCAGATTTTCAATGGTCTAATATCCTTCCACGCTTCTTAAGTTGTGTACCCACCAGCGAACAGTTCACGAACACTATTCACAAACAATGCTCGCAAGCAGTTCGCAAACTTTTTATAAACAGTATTCAGCCTTTCGCGAACATTGCTTGTGTAACAACTTCACGAACAATTTCCGAATATTTATAAATATTCTGTTGCACCAGCTTATCAGTTTCTTGAGAGGAATTAGTTCGTTGGTTGTGTTCGCTGTGCACTTGCGACTCATTAAAGAACAAAACTTGTAAACAAATATCGATAAGATTAATTTCAATTTGTAGAAAATTATGAGTACGCTAGATCAGTTGTTAGCTTGTGCTAGTTTTGTGGTTATTCGTCTACTAACTTAAAATAAGAAACATAAATGACATTGATGGTGGTAGAGAAAATTGTTTTAAAATCTCTTGTTTGCCAACGTGATCCATCGATAGGTCATTCGAAATGATGGCAAAAGAGATTGAAAAGAGAGATCATCACATTTTCAGATTACGTACTAAGAAATTATGTGTTAATAATAATACACACTTCGGTTATAAGAAACGCTGGCAATAGCGAGCGTTTCGTGAATTTCGCTGCCGTCTTGAACGTGTTAAGAGTGGAGGATCAAAGTGACTTCAGAAACTTTTATCGAATGTCAGCTAGTGAATTTGCCAACATATTAACATTAATAGGACCGACTATAGCAAAACGGGATACAAATTACAGATCCGCTATTCCAATACATGAACGTTTGGTTATAACTATGCGTATTTTAGCTGCAGGCGATTCTTTTAATAGCCTAATGTACCTTTTTAGAGTTTCGAGACAGATTATATCTCGAATAATGCTTGACAGTTGTCTAGCTTTGAATTAAGCACTTCGCATGTATATACAGGTAGAAACATTATTATTTATACAATTGTATTCCTCGATTTATTTTCACTTTCAATTTCTTTCAGCTGTCTTTTAGGTGCCATGCCAATTCCCGAAGCTTGGTATAAAATAGCTACCGAGTTTGACGATAACTGGAACTTCCCCAAATGTATTGGAGCAATACATAGATGGGAAACATAATTGTACATGCTCCGATATACAGTGACTCAGAGTACTATAATTATAAAGGCTCTTATAGCATTCTATTATTTGAAATTGTTGATGCTAACTATTCTTTTATATAGGGGAGAGTCGTGCAGTACCGGCCAAAGCTAGATCTCGCTTATACTGTTAGTTGACTGCACTCAGATGGATAAACAAATAAATACTATAGCCCTGAGCAACGTATTTCGGCGACGTTCTTTTTTCTTCAGTATTACCAGAGTTCTAAGACGTTTAACGTTTACGCTGGTGTTCCGTACGACAAAAGTTATTTTTCATAGCTGCAATGGTTGGGCTCACGTGGAGTGTACGGATCAAGAAAATATCGATCACTTTACCTGTGATATTTGTAGACGTGCCTAAATAAAAGTTTTATTCTATATTTAAATGATTTTTACTAACGTTATTTATTACTTATACCTTCAAATCTACTAACTAAGTAGCTGGCCGGTACTGCACGACAATTTTTCGTTCGCTGCAAATTACAACTTTTTCATTTCTACGAATTATTTATTTTTATGAGAAAATTTAAGAAAAACCATTTGTCCCCTTTTATTAAGCACCCTTTGTACTACAAATGACTTTTTCGAAATTTCATTTTTACCAACATTAGTCCAAGTTATAGTACAAAAACTTAGAGTGGCCGGTACTGCACGACTCTCCCCTATATGTAGAGATTATGAAAAATTCAGAGGCCGATCTGAAAACAAGTTTTAATAGCGCCTACGAAGAGTGTTTTCAAAAGTAGAAAAGACGTTATCACCGATGTGTAGTTACGATGTGGGAATATTAAAATTTAGAATAATTTTCTATTAACTGCAAATTACAAACGTCTTTATTTTTGCCGTTAGTACAGACGTGTAGTCTCTCAGGCTACTTTGCAATTTTATTTAAAGGTAATATAATTGTTTCGACGCGATTCTTTAACTTTATTATTTTTAGTGTATCGCGTCTCACACGCCAAATTAATCTTGTGTGAATGTCGTTAATGTTTAAGTATACATGTGTTTAAGAATATGGGTGAGTGAAGGTAGGGACTCGGGCCGGTTTATGACCCGCAGACCTCTCGGTCTGCGGAGGAACCCGGTCGCAACGCCTGACTCCCCCACGCGCTAAGTGCTGGGTCAGGTAAGGACCCAGCCACGTGCTCGCGCGACGCGGTCCTTGCCGGGTAGAAACCCCCAACTTGCGCCAGGGTTTCCCAAAGGCAAGTGAAGGGCGTCAAAGCCGGCATATAAGGACGCGTTAGGAGCACTGCGGGCAGAAACATAAGAAATATAAGAATTGTAAGAATTGCAGGAGAGTAGATTGAACCGCGTAGTCAACGACGAAATCAATATAGTTTTTTTTAAATTATCGAACGAAGCACTGTTTAAACTGAAAACCCTTACATGTGTAAGTATGAACTATGTGTAACGTGAACTGTTGTACTGATCTCTTGGGAATTTTTGTGGACATTGAGGTGAGTTGGGCCCTTCTTGCAGCTTTATCTTAAAACTATGATGAGGTGGTGGCCTGGTCGTCCGTGTCATAAAATCAAACTCATAACGGTTACGTTTGCGTCGCAACAATAATATTTTGTTTAATGATATATATTGGCTTGTTAAGGTTTTTCACAATATTTTATAAAAACGATATGTTCATAATATTACAAAAGAAATTAGTAGTTTGTTTTGATAGTGTTGTATGTAGACGCGCCCGAGCGGTGAACGACTATTTTGGCAACGAGTAACCGATCAGCGAAGTTACATAAATTTTGATGTTGTCTTACCAATTGAATAAGAAGTTGAGTCCGTGATTGTCTAGTACCATACGGGTCCTTGGTTTTGCAGTCATCAAATCAAAGTTCGAAGCGAATAATAAAGAATGGGAACAGGTTTTATTTAAAATATAATTCACACTGTCGCGTCGCGTTCTTTTGCGATGTTCAACAGGAAGCTCGCGGTCGCGACTGTTACCCGCCCTTACCAATTGAATAAGAAGTTGAGTCCGTGATTGTCTAGTACCATACGGGTCCTTGGTTTTGCAGTCGTCAAATGAAAGTTCGAAGCGAATAATAAAGAATGGGAACAGGTTTTATTAAAAATATAATTCACACTGTCGCGTCGAGTTCTTTTGCGATGTTCAACAGGAAGCTCTCGGTCGCGACTGTTACCCGCCAAATTAATCTTGGGTAAGTAGTTCAAAATCTATTTTGCTCGAACGTTAGCAAAACGTAGAGTGCGTCACGAACGATTGACGACTTTGTTCCAAAGACTCGGATTATACTTGAACGGCTGGAGAGAGTATCTTGTTCACACGAGAGAATCTTTCGAATGTGTTGTGTCTCCTCGAACGGTTGGAGATCTAGTGGTGTTCGCTCGATGGAATCCTCGGTGACTCCCCCGCCAAGTGCAAGAAGGCACGCTGATTGGTTTTTCACGTACGCACAAATTACCAATCAACGTGCCCCTTTAGCGTCACTCACCCTTCCATTGCGCTCTTAGCGCACTTTTCCTTGGAAGGAGTGGGGCGATACCTGCGGGTGCGTGGAATCTTCGCTGTCCTTCGGTGACGCGTCGGAAATTCCCGCCAGGTCAACCCTCGGCCGAGAGTGCCGTTATACGCGCGTGTGGATTGATCTTTCAGGAATACCTGGTTTATGACACGTCTTCGGTTATTGAGGACGCAGAATAGACGAAATTCTAAAGGCATTGTTCTGTAAGAAATTACTTATTTTTTCGCGGAGCTACGCAGCGTCTTTGTTCTCAAAAATAACCTTCTCGTGCGAGCGTGCCATAAACCCGGTCAACGAAGACCCCATGCGTTCCGTACCTGCGCGACGGAACACACACCTTGTTTTAATTAATGTCTGATATATTGTCAAAAGAATATAGAATGAAGAATATATTCTCAATGAAGAATAACGTGTAACAAAATCAACAAAATAAAAGTTGCAAACTATAATATTTCGCTTACAGGCGTTGGATATTTTGCTTACTGTTATTACAACATCTGGCACATACGGAATTTAGAATTTAGCAATGATAATTCAACAAAGGTTTCGCATAACGACTACACATCTAAATTATCATTACCGTGACTGAACAGTACTGTCTTCAAGAAAATGAATAATGAAATTTAAGATAACTCACCAAAAGTGTGCATTAACCCCCTTAACGCGCACAGTCGAGTTAATTCCAGCGGACGATAATAGCAGAAATGTGCACACTCGAGTTAACTCGGCGAGTCTTATTGAAAGGTTGATACAATATTATCATAACGATAAACTCGTAAAGAAATCAGGTTAGCCAAAAAGTACTGGGGTATTACAGTTAACAGAAAGACATTCTTCCGCTTTTGTTCGGTTACTATAATAGTATAGCGTTTACTAACCAGATTCGTTCTTCGCCGTGGTATTGTCACACTGGTTTGCATTGCCAGGATCCGTCCCATTTTACAGTCACCTGTACAATTAAAATATTATAGTAATTTTCTATTCGCTGACAGACGCTGTACATGTACAATATTCCAAATTTATGATAAAATATTATATGGGAAATTTAATGGGAAATTTTTCATACGGTACTTGGCACTTTTAAAACGTATACCGAGTATCAGGTTATATTAGCAAGTTTTAAGGAACGATACGACTTGTCGCATATCTAAATTATTCTGTTATTGGATCACGTTAATTCCAAAGAAGGAATGCGTTATATTAACACTCCTCCGCGATGCCTAAACAAAGGGATTCATTTTTTTATACATCAAAGGTGAGTATGCGATCGATTAGAGAGTTCCAACGACGCTTTGCATTATCAAATCGCATTCTCGCCGATGAACAATTATGAAAGCGCAAAGAAAAGAATTTTGCTCGGAACGTAACAATAGCAAGTCGTAATGAATTGTATTGTAAAAGAATTTTAATGAGTCAAAAGAAAAAAACCTTTATAAAGATAACACTGAATATAATGAGAATAATAAAATGAAAAATTCAATTTTCCATCTAGTCTACTTCAGCATAATCTTTACATACTTTGATAGCTAAGATTTTGTCACAGTCCTCTTCCGAATCACTCACATTTTCATCCAGCCAAATATTACAAGCATCTTCAAAGTTCGAATGATGAACCGATGTAGCATTGTTTTTCAATGGTCCTAGATGGGTGTTTCTTTCAGGATACAAAATGGTCAGGTAAAAACGGACCACTCGTCTCAGAGGTGACTGACTACATATTTAGTAATGATTTTGTTAAACAACTGAATGTCAAATTCTGCCAAAATAGCGTGCCGCCTACTCTCTATTGAAGGTACTCAAATGTCGAAGCTTTTAAAAGCCCTTGTTAGATGTGTGGTCTGTATAAGTGTTAACACAGTTTCACAACGCTAGTCCGCATATTTTTTTATGAGACCTCGTACGTGCAACATTCTGTCATTTCAAAGCACACTAAGAACCTTCAACATTCGTTTTCCCAACGTGTTAATTACATCGTACTCTCTTTTTCCGTGTCTCCGTTTACATTCCGTCACTGCAGCATCCGATGGACCAGTGCGTTGCGTGTGCTTTCAATTGCGATTACGAATTCGCCGTTTTCTACTTTGACCGTCGTCCTCCTTTGATCCGACCGGTGCAGCTACAAAGTACGCTTCCGGTAATACGTATCCGACTCTTTCGAAATCCGAGTGGCGAGGACAGTCGTTGAAAGGCCAGGCGAGAGTGCGTCTCGTCTTTCGGATTTAACATGCAGACGTGAAAACGTGTTTCCAATCTTGCGGCGTTGGCGATGCCAAAACAAGCTACTTAAGGTTTTTCCATCAGCTTGATCTTCTGTCGAGATGGTGTCGAGAAATTTTTCGCGATAACGCTGCAACCGAATATATTTCGTTAATTGATCGGTGAAACTTCAAGAGGTCGTCATTTTTTCAGTTTATCGGCTCATTAGTTGTTCTTTTTTTTTTTAGCGAATATTGCTTTACTTCTGGTATTTTGAATTCCTTTCGTCATAAGATATTATTATCTAAAAATAAGGGATTTTCTGTTAGTATTTTACGGAAGAATGTTTGAAGAAAAGTAGTACAATTTTTAGAGCATTGAAATGTAACA